TTTATGCCAGTGCTGATTCCTAAGATTATAAGCACTGTGAGTTTTGACAAGGACTCTGGATGAACAAATATGTTTCCATAAAATACTGTCTTTTGTATATGCTAATTGGATGAGACAATCAAATTTAATTCAGAATTCAGGAAAGAACTTTGTGTAGAATTTGGCCTCATCTTAGTCCTTTTGCATTTGTTTCATTAGACTTTGACCCTCATATCTGTATTAACAGAGGCAAAACAATTCCTTTCTTTTCTTAGCATATAAATGGCATCATGTAGATTGCAGATTTTCCTTTATTCTTGTGTAATGTCTGTACCTTTTACTTTGAGAACACCTCACTGAAGAATCACGTTAAATAACAATCAAAAATAACTCATTAATCTGTGTAGAGATGGCAGGCACCCTAACACCGTGGTATAGGTATAGGTAGAACTTGAAGAAGAAAATGCTGTAAAGCTGACAGCGTGTTGAAGATAATTTGTTTATACAAGTGCTAAAGTTATGTTTGATATGTTAATGCAACCTCATTTTCTAGTAAAGGCCAAACACTATTAAGTGGTTATCTGCATTGATTTTTCTATCTTCTGAAATACTCTATTCATTCTAAACTACCTTTACTCCTTTTGTGTACCTGGAAGTAGGACCATCTTTTAACAGTCTTTGTGGTCAAGCTTCAAGGACTTTACTCAGTGATATTCTCCTGGGCCACTTCTTGACCTCTCCATCAGTGTGCCCTTTAGCAGGTGCTCCTTTTCGCAGTTTGTTTGGATTTTCTCAACCCTCCCACCTGCGTAATCACTGAAAGGGGTCAGCACCTGATGAGGGTTGAACTGATGCCTCTCACAAACATCCATGTTCTGCTGAATCGTTTTAGCTGATGCTCATTAAAAAAGGCTCGCTAGTAGCGTAATGGTTTAAATTAGAAGATGAGAGTGGAGAAAAGGTGTCCTTGCTGTCTCTCCTTTGTTTCCTGCCTGAATCTCTTCTTATCCTTTGGTAGGTTACCTGCTTTGCTTTTCATTTTGTGTCTTAGCTGCTTGTGATATATCCTCTGCTGGATACAGGGGTATTTGTTTGGAAAGACTGGATGCATTTAGAAGAGTGTAGCTGTGTTGCCCTGTGTAAATATGGTTAAAAGAAGATTGAGTGCCTGTTGCTGGGAATGGATGATGTTGCAGTGAAAATTGTACAGTTGGTCTCTGATGACTGCTCAAGGAACACTTGGAGTAGGCTTAAAGAGGTTCATTGTCTGACAAGCGCGTAAGTACGTTATCACTTGAGTGAGGCTAGCTAAGGTAGGAGACTTTTTGAGGGAAATACATTCAGAGAAGAGAACAAACTTGAAGGTTTGAAAGAAGAGAGAGGAAACCTTTTTATCTGGTTGGGAATTTTTCTTTTTTTTTTTTTTTTAATTTTATTATTGCCTCTCTGGCTGCAGCACTGAATGAACACATTAGACCATGCAATGAAGCTAATTCTCTGTGGATAGTTTGTGCGAAACCATTATAAAATGATATGTTATCATTTGTGATGTTTTAATATCCTTTACTTAGCAAAGTATTTAGCCTTCTGATCAATGTATATTCTCTTTGCAATCCATCTACACTGCTCTTGTATTCCTTGATATACTCAAAGTATCTGAGGTAAAGAAGCAGTTTTCTCACTTAACAGCCCATCTTTCATAAAGCGTTAAATTAATGGAAACTTTCATTTAAGTGCACAATTACACTTCAGATCAGATGTTTAGGCATAAAATATTTTCTCTCTGACTTTAGGAGGATTCTGTTTGAATGTTTCCCAAGTATGAATTTTCACAAGTTTGGGATAACAAGATTTAGACATTCCTATTTATGATATTTTAAATGAAACACTTCCTTTAGCTTTCAGGTTTCTTAAAAGGATACATCCAACATTTCCTTTTTGCCAGTACTGAATTGGACGATGTCCTCTCTTCACTGTGCTCCAAAAAGTATTTTTATATATGTTTTTAGAAGGAAATCCAGTTTCTTTCTTGCAGCTGTTGGCATTTTAGAGCCCTGGAGTGAACCAATAAAAACACATGTTCTTTTAAAGAACATCTATTTTTACTGGACCTTGCTAACAACCAATGACACAGAATTCAAAAAATGTTGGCTCAAATGAACAGCAGGGCTGCATTGTTTTAAATTCTATTTTTAAAACTTTTCTTTACAGCAAGACTACACAGAACTGCATATGCTCTTGCTCTTATTAAAGAGAGCTTGCTGTTAGAATGCTATTTTAATGTTTTAAAAGTAGTTCAGATATCAAAGTGTTGTAGACTATAAAATTTTAGTAAGACATACACAACATTGCCATTTCAGAGTATTATTATAATGCTTTCACAAATAGGATAATTAAGATGTTACTTCCTAGACATCTAGGAATAAATACGTTTTCATTGATAATTCAGAACATCTTCTGTTAATACATTGTTTCCAACATATTAAGGCACTTCTGTGCAAAGCTCAAATTAGATCACCATTTCTTTCAATGATACCCTCAAAATGGGTTCAAGCAGTATGCTCATTGAATATGCCTAGTTTTTTTCAGATATCAACATTCTTCGTGGAAATGAAATTCAATATGATTTATAAAATACTACCAAGATTGATGTAAATGTAACCATGTCAAGATTGACTTGATAGGGAGGTCCATCCATTTTACATTACTTGTGTTGCATCTTTATCGTACATGCTCTATATGCTGCACGACACTAGATTCGTATTGCTGTGGTTTGTTTCACAATCCTGTCTTCACAGGAGTGGAGAGCAGAGTGAGATTGAAACCATACCCTTGGCTGTGCTACCTGCCCTGTACATCAAGATTCCATATGGTCCTGTAGCTAGGTTTTGCTCTTAGTGCATTTCCACTTCTCTTTTAGAGTCAAGAGAGTAGCACGAATATAAATTCATGTTTTAAAGCCAGATTGGGATTTTTGTCTTTTTTTATAATCTTTACTGTAAGAAGTCTGTGTTGTTGTCAGATTGAGAATTCCAAAGCACTGTTTTGAAGAAGAGTGTTGGCAAAGCAGAAAAGTGAGATGCCTGCTGATATTACATGATATAATGTGTAAAGTGCCATGATAATGCCTGTAGTAATAGATTGATTTTATTTTTTAGAATGGTGTTTAGATCCTGTATTGTAGAGGAAAAGAGCTGCCAGAGAAAAATCGTGCGTAATCTGGGTTTAGTTCTTCAATCATTTTATTAGCACCCTCGTGTCTGCAGACACACACTTTTCATGCTGGATTACAGAGAATGCAAAGAATTATAATTCTGTGATTTGTGATTTTTGTGTGTGTGAGGTAGATGTGTAAGTCTGTAAAAATATTTGCAATAAAATATGTCAACATTTTTTCTGTATTTCCCTATTTTCTGGGAAAGTGTCTTTTTTTTATTGCAATAAAAATGGAACTGTGCATTAAAGAACTTCACAACAGACACTAAGAGAATGCACTAGTCCAGGGAGATTTGCTGCCTTTAAAATAAGTAATCCTATTAGAAATGAGCCCGGATTTCTAACAGAAGTAATCAGATACAACAACAGACATACGAATTGAATTTTTTTACTAGTAGTCTTGGACACAGACAATTATTTAAAACTTATTCAAGTATAGGATTGAATTATTCTGTTTTATATACTATGCTGGATACCTGATGTGCAGTACATTGCTAAGGACTTTATGTTCAAGAAGTGTATGTATTGGTATTTCTTTTAAAATTTCTGTCTCGAGACAGGTCTATTTTACTTAGACCTCAGTTACGACGTTTGTGGTTTTCTTTGTTTTTAGAGTTGATGTGAGCCATGCTTCATTGTCCCATGTACTGAATTGCTCAGGAATAGGTTGTGTACACTTGATGGGAAGCTCACTTTTGTGTCTTCGACAGTCACTAAGATAGCAAAAGAGACTGATGTTTTTAGGTCTTTCATTTGAGACAGCAATACTTACATGGGATTATATCACGATTCTCATTCCTTTCTTACTAGCGTTTTCAGAATGTATTTATTAAAATACTTTTTCTCAATTAATTGTCTTTTGTACCAACAGAATCTGTCAGCTTTGGGTTTTGGTGGTGGTATCCAAACTACTTGCTTGTAATATACTGTTTTCAAATGTTCCTGTTAATATTGTGCTTTTCCCTAGTTCTAACACTTTTTCCCCTGCAGATTTCTGGTACTTTATCTTTTTCATTTTGCTTGGTTTTGTAAACCAGAGGGTTTTTTTATAAGACAATGAACTGTCTGCTGACAACTAATTATTCTTTCAAACCAAGGTAACTGGGCAAGACCTCATAGTTACCATAAAAAAAAAACCACAAACAATGAAATATAATTTAGCTCACAATTTGTAGATCTTTAGTCTTTAAAATAGACGTTTTGCTGACAGCAGTAAGTGTATGTGTATATGCACACAGTAGCAAATGTTAAATTTTTAATTCTTTGTCATTAAGTTAAATATTTAAACAAAATAATCTTAAAGCTTCTTTTCTTTCAAGATGTGGTGTGTGTTTGGGATTTAGAATAATCTCTTAGTGTGAAAGAGACGAGTATAAAAATTACATGTATATTTTCTGGTAAAATGCTGGGTCCTAGATTTGGTAGGAGGGTCTATAATTTGCTTGCTTTTCTAAAAGCACGTATTGCTTCCTTTATACCCACTTACTTCCATCATTATATTGACATAACTAGGAGCAGAATTTCAACCTGACATCTTTGTAATTTTTAAGACTTTTTAAAACATTCTGAAAAACGTTGTTATCTGATACTAAACTTAGCTTGTTTTGGCATAAAATTGGACCAGGAATAATGATGCACATTTAGAAAACATAGTTCTAGTACTGACCTGGGATTGTAACTTGCTTTTGTCTGATGCTTTCTCTACTGCAGAAATGGGGATGGGGTTATTTACGTTAATTCGTTTGGCTTGTTGAAAAAAATATGCCCACACTCCTCTACTTAATGGGATTCTTTCCTCGTTGCAGTGCAAACGGCTGGAGCAGGAGCTTCATCATCTGAAAGAGCAGAACCAGACTTCAGCAAACAACACGAGACATCTGACTGCTGAAAACAATCAAGAACGTGCTCTGAAGGTAAATCTCCATTTCTTCTTGCAGGCAAATTAAGGTTGTAAGCCCCTGGTGCCAGCTTTCTGGGCTGCATATATCAGTTGTGTACATTTCGGCAGAAGTGAGCTATGGTGTTTGCCAACAACCCCTTCTTTAAACACAGATACAGCACCCTTCTGTTATGGTTTTATTTTATTTTGTGTATGAAAACAACAAGAAAAAATAACATATCCTCCAAATTATTGGGCTGGTAATTAATGCTAAATTCTTGGGGTCTGTCCTTGCAATATTACATTTTATAACGTGAAGAAAACTGCAACTATTTGACTCACGGTACCTTTGCAAAACTAATATTTTAAAGCATGGCTGTTTGATCTGCTCCCAGCAGTGTGTGCTATATTAATAACATTGTTGACCTATACTACTAGTGACCACATAGTTGATACTACTATTTGCAAAAGGGTAGCTAGTTGGAATTGGGAGGAGAAATAATAAGTCCTGTCAATAAGAATAAAAATGAGCAGACAGGCGGGAGAGGGTCAGAGAAAGGACAGTGTAAAGTGACAGGTTATTGCTGCTTTGAGAAAGGGAAATTGTAACGTCAGTGGGATTGATAGCTACATAACCAGCAATCTCACTGCTAGCCGGAATAAGAGACTGTGCCAGGTAAGATGTGCAAATATCCTGCGCACCTATTTCAACCACTATATTCTTAAAAATCTCTTTTATGGGTAGTGGAGAGACAATATAAATACAGAAGTTACTCTGTTGATACTGTGTTGTCATTTAAAAACTGTGTTTGATTTAGGCAGTAAGATCCAAATGCATTTTGTTTATAGGCAGGTTTTCCTCTGCCTCCTTTTCAATTTTATTTTTTTTTTAATATTTGGGAAACATCATTGTTCATGCAGCAACTTGACCGACACATAGTATAGGAATTAAGGTAAATCTTTGTGTAGTTTGACATTTCTCAGTAAAAAAAAAAAAGTATAACAAATAAACAGAGAGAGGCTGTGTGCCACAAAAATGCTGTATGTTCTATGGGTTTATGATCAACATTAGAATCTACGGTGAATATTACAAAATCAGGTGTGTGATACTGAAAGCAATCCATCCTCAGCTGATTAGAAATAGAGACTGTAAACATTCAGGGCTCTTTCTGACCGCAATAATAGTGTTGCTTTGAGTCTGGTATCACTAGAAGTTAGTGCTTGCCAAGCGTGCTGCTTATTGAACATAGTATTGTTTTTTATTAATTGCATGCTGATGTGTTTTTTCTGTGTCATTGAAAATATTATGCCCAGATTCTTTCCTTTTGAAAACAGCAATGTTTTATTGAAACTACACTTTTTAGATTTAATATTGCCTGACATAATGCTTACAGAATAATTATATTTTCAGAGCAAGAAGTGACTTAATAGTTCAGAGCGTTACTAGGATTTTATTCTAAGCCTGATATTGCTCTCCTAGCACCTAATCTTTAAAGAATTTAATTTCTGGCTGTCATAGGCGTTTTTTGATTTTTCAAAGTTAGAGGTTAATTGGTCGTAGTCTTTTAGAGATGAGAATGTGGGGAGGAAAAAAGTAATGATTTTCGTTTTTTGGTGAAGTTGAACTTTTTTAACATTGTACCATTTAGAGTTGTTTTGGTTCATACAGATGTTGCCTACAGTGAGGACAGGTCCACCAGAGTACTTTTTTAAAGGCCAATGGGTTAAGTTGAATTCTTGACCTTGAAAACTTTAAAGTGTCCATATGAAATATTGGCAATAGTAGTTAGTTTTCGTATACAGCATATGAACACTTATCCTGACCTAAGCACCCATGTAAATGAAAAGTTTATCACTCCTTTTTAGTTACAGCCTAGAAAATATGGACTGGTTGGTAGGGATGAAAGTCGTGTCAGTGACTCCTTTAGAAATGGGGATGACTGGTGCCAAAATATCCAGCCAGAGCCTGCTGACAAATAACACACTGTGTGGCCTTGGTACACACCTCCCCTCTGAAACCTTCTTGTTTTCGGCTGCTGCTTCCTGCCTCTCACATGCACTCAGCAGCCACCGTAAGTGCTACACACAGAGCCGGGGTACGGACCCAAGAATCCCCTCCTGTCGCCTCTCCGCTGCAGATCACCCTCTGGTCATCTCACTCTTTTCACAGAAATACAACTGGCTATTTTTTTCTGTGGTGCAGAGTTCAATATCAACACAACTATTTTTATTTTCACTGTGATCCCGAGAACTACATTTACTTTAACCACCTCTGCGTGCAAACTGAGAACTGCACTGTGTGCTATTAATTCAGATGTAGGCACCTGTCCTGCAGGAGTCCAGGAATTCCCTCTGTGTCTATCCAGGACAGTTTCTAAAAAAGTTGGGGTTTTTTTAAAAAAATTTTTAGTTTCCCTGACTCAAGCTTAATTAATGCTGCCTGATTCAGTTTGGCAAAAGATGTATTTTGTGATAGGTGGCAGATGAGGAATTTGATCTGCTCTAGATTTTCTTCAGGGAGTAATAGAAGTGTAAACATCAGATGTGGCGCAAGGATACTTGCGATCTTAATTGGATAAAAATACAGTAATCGGGATCAACTAGATTAAGGATGAGATCATTGCCTCTATGGGGTCCTGAACTACACTTAACAACAAAACCAAATGGGTTATTTTTTCTTTCTTTCTTTCTTTTTGAAATCATCTCACAATAGTGAGTTCCTCAGAAGGAAAATAGTGTAAAACCAATTCACAAGGAATCTATTTCATTCCACTGACAGTATGGTTTTAGCTATATTTTCAGTTATATTAGCTCACAGGGCTTCTGCCACCCTTCTTTGAGGCAGTAGCAGCCCATAGACTCCCAAGGGAGGCAAAGCAGCAGAGAAACAGAACGTAACTGTGGGAGAGATGTGGTGGCAGTAAATTGGCCAGATCCAGGATCTGGGAATCACAAAGACAATGTAAGCAGTTTTGCAAACTTTTGGTTTTACACACTTGTAGATCTTGTGTCACATCTGAGGCTCATGTGACAAAACAAGACACACAAGCCATGCTGTCTAGACCCATACTGTGCCATTTCATCTTACTGTGTGATATAACATCTGCACATCTTTGGTAAGGTCTTAGCTAATCTGTGTCATATATATTAGTAGTGCGTGATTTTAAAGTTCCATATTTAATGTATTTCTTGCATAGAACATTCCATATAGTGATGTGAGCCATTCAGTCCCACAAAGCCAGGCTGGTAGTCCTAATTTCTATGACGTTGTTATTGGTCATAGGAGATTGTATTAATTGAACAAAAAGACCAATTTAAAATTTGCCCTCCAGGCAACGCCCACAGCTGCACACAGGTCATTCGGAGAAGCATGTGGGCCCCTATTTCCATAGTTAAAGTAAAATAATCCTCTTCTTTTGAAACCATTTTAAAAAATCTCTTATAATATTTCCGATTGAATTATAGCTAAATCTTTTAGGGATAATTGCTTCCTAAGGGCCTATACATTTGCACTCTTAGTACATTTTCATAAAATAAGATCTGCAGAGTGCTTTGCAGTTTTAATGTGTCAGGGTCTATACATAAGATTATTCATTTTGCTTGGCCTTCATAATTAACACTTGGTCTCTACTGATTCTGGTAAATGTATTCCCACAATACACTGAAATAACTGATTCAATTAAACATAGAAAAGTTGAAAATTTGCTGGTTTTTTCATTAGAATTCAAATATTGTTGTGAACTACTTTATTATATTTGGCTTTGTAGCGGGTAGTTTTAAAATGCAGAGTTTCAAGTAGCACATTTCCCTAAGGAAAAATAAAGATGTTGCCAGTGTGAATGTCCTCCCTACTCAGTTGAAGAGGAATAGGAAATAAGTTTTATGAAACAAATAATTCAATGTGATAATTGATGGAAAATGTTTAACTGGATTTGAAAAAAACATAAAGAGAGGTGACTTTTTTTCACATGCTTGATCTATTTTGTAATTTTTAATTAGATGGTACATTCTTCTTAAAACAGCTATTAATCTGCTTTAAAGACCAAAGAGACATACTAATTTTACTTCCAAGCCAAACTCTCAAAATGGAGGAGGGGCTTTTTCATGATGATACACAAATCAGGTGCCCTTTAGTGACTAAATGAGTTTACTCCAGCCAAGTATGATGTCATTAGAACTTGTAAAGGTTATTAGTCTCCTTCAGAGCTGTTAAGAAGTTAATCTTTGGTTATGATTGGCTTATGTTTTTCTGACTGATCTATTTTTTATTTGCGATTTTCCGTACATGTTCTACATGCTTTCATGGTTTTATTAGGAATATCATAAATTTAGTCAGAGGCAAGAAAGTGACCTGAAGGAGTTGTCAGAAATTAATCTACAGTAGTGTCACAAAGCAATTGTAGCTTTCTGTTGACACATAAGAATTGTGTAAATGGCAGGAAATCCACAATGCATAGAAGTTTGGTACTGGTTCCAGTGATGATGCCTCTGGAAAACCTACTCTAGAAGACTTAAGTACTCACTGATACCCGTCATAAATTGTATCAAGTTCTGGTCTGATTCCCAGAATTTCCCACATTTTTAGAGTAGAAACCATATTTCTGTATCTGCTTGACAATGCCAACTGCAAAAACAAATCAAGCTGACTAGTCAATATATCGTCCATGAAAAGCATGATCCCAGGAGAATCTGATGTGATGAGAGCTTAAAAAAATTTAAGAAAAGCTTTAACATGAAATTTAAAATATTTGCTACTGTTGAAAAGGGTGGAGTATGCGTGCTATGTAGGCATATAATATTGACTACAGAATAAAATGCTTCTTTCAGAATATAGTAACTGTGGCCTTTATCTGCAAAAATTAAGTCCTTCTTACAATGTTTTTATGTTTAGAGCTTCAGAGCTGAAGCTTCAGAGCTTCATTTGAGTTAGTTTGGAGCTATTTTATGGCCACAAATCCTCTGATTTGTTTCTGATAGAACCACATGCTTTTGAAATGCTCTATAATCCAGGGAAACTTGCCTGAACCAATAGTG